ACCTTATAAATGTTAAATAATGCATAATAATATTCAATGCTCATGTATAAAATTTTTAATTAAAGGAAATTAAGATGGTGCATCAGCAAAATAAATTTCTTTCTTAAACATATAAAATATAGTTAGAACTAAAAGTCTGTTTACTTATTTTACTCATTTTGATAAAATAATTAAAATTAAGGTATTACTTATAAGAATTTTAAAGAACAATGTTATCAGTATTTCTTCAGAGACTTTTTAATTTTTAGTTACCACTAAGAAAATTTTCTCACAAAACAAATAATGTACTATATTTAGAATAGATGATAATATTCTAATTTAAATGACAAAATATAAAGAGGTTTTAATTATGTTACACATGCATTGGACAAAAATAAAATTTTACTGGTTTTCCATCTTAAAAATATGTAAGGAAGTGTGTTTTAGAATAATATTGTGGCTATACAATTTGATTTTTAATACATAAAGAAAGAAATTATATATTTACTATTATCATTATGTGTTAAAATTTTAGGTGTTGCTGTTTTCTACAATGACACAATTAATGGATGTCATTGAAGAATTTTTGATGTTTCGTAAATTTTCATTTACTAGATTGGATGGAACTATGAAAATTCAAAAAAGAGTTGATGCAATAACAACATTTAACAGTGACCCAGATTGTTTTTTGATGATGATATCAACACGTGCCGGTGGACTTGGTTTGAATTTAACGTCAGCGGATACTGTTATTTTATTTGACAGTGACTGGGTATGATTGATTTGAAAAAATAAGTACTCATCATACAAAAGTAACAAAGGGCAATGTCCTATTTTTGTCTGGTTCAGTCTAACCTCATAAATGAGTTTTCTAATTAAGTTATTCTGTTGAAAATATTTTTAAGTTCAATCATATAGTGCAAATAAAAGAAATTTCTCCCTTCTATAGATAATGAAGCGCTGGGTAGATTATTTGTAGCCTTGTTTAACAGTTTTAGCATATACAATAAACCTTTAATTGTTGAGTACTGATCGTTTTAAGTAGCAGAAATAAATCTTTATTAATCGTAAATCCTTAGAAGCATTAAATATTTTGATTTCCAATAAGTCTAAACATTTTGTATTAACATTTATAAATAAGATATGTTCAAAAAGCTTTGCTTTATCTATCGACCTTTGCTTCTAATGGTCAATAATAGACCTACAATCTACTAAAAGTGTGTTAATATTAGAAGTGGTTTTTTTGCAACTAATATTGTAAGTTGTAAATAATGTGCTATACATCTTAGATGATTCCAGATATATCTGGAACTTCAAATTGTTGTTGCAAGGTTAAGTGTTTTTGAGTTATACATTACAAAATTACCATTTTTCAGTTAGTTTTTTAATAAAGTTGTTTAGATTGGTTGCAGTATGTTGTCCTTTGGAATGTTCAAAATTTTAAGTCTTGAATAACAAGTTTCCATTCTTTTAAGATATTATGTACTGTTAAAGAAGTATAATTCAGAGATTTAAGTTATTTAACAGACATAAAAGTTGAATGGAAAATCCATTCATATGTTGTAAAAAAAAGGATTTTACACTTTTACATTCATTATCAATGATATTTTTTAGTATAATTAACAGCTTTTTTCAAAAGCATTTAGAATATGATATTTATAAAAAACATTTCATCAGTAAATTAGTTTTTTTTATAAATTTAAAAAATGCAAGCTCCTGAACAGACATGACAATCTTCTATTTTAAACTTCAATACATTGTTATTTAATGTCTTTACATTTGAATTTGTTTTTACCTATAGTTGTCGTCTTTCATTTACAATTTATGATTGTGTGGGTTGAATTATTTTAGATGTTTAAATTTTTTTAAAGCATCAGTTAGTTTTGGTTGAATTATATATTTTATTGAATTTTTATGACTTCATTTTTTTTTTTTTTTTTTTTTTATTGTGAGTCACACTTTACATTAGGGGTGTCCAACTTGCGGCTTTTACTTCAATTTAAAAACCATTAATTAATTGTATATAATATATTAATAATATGAGAAAAAAATTATTATAAGAATATAAAACTACAAAATATTAAATATCAATTAAACTTTAAATAGTGTTTTATACTTTTATCTTAGCATAATAGCATGGGCACACATAAATTATACGGGTGATTAGTTGACCAATTCGAGCCGATTTTGATAATATATTTTATTATTGGAGATAAGTTCATGACATTGATCCGGTGTCATTTATCAACAAATAAAAATAAAATACTGTATGCATTAAATATTATTATTAAAAAGTATGTGGCCAACAAAAATTTATGCCCATATGATATGGCCAATCTTCACAAAAGATTGGACACCTCTGCTTTACACATTTACCTTTTTTGAGAATTGATTAATATAATCGTATAACTTCTATTTAATAGGTATTTACATTTGATTTTTTTAACATAAAAAAATTAATTTTTACTTAAAAAATTATAAATAATCAAAAAAATTACTTCATACCTTAAATTAACCAACTATCATTAAGTTAAAATATTATTAAAGTAAGTCTACGGAACATATATTATTTGGTGTTTGCTACACTTACTTAAATTGTTTAAATATTTTACTCAATAAATCTAATATATTTAATCATACATTTATCTATGTAGTACTAAAATAATATTATATTATATTTTAATATGAATATGCAATTAAGTACTCATTATTTTTAAGTATTTAATTACATTATTAATGCTTGTAGACTGTAGTTGAAAATGTGTATATTTTTTGTTAATAATATCTATAACAAATAAAAAATTAATTTCTGTAAAATTAATACAACAAACACAGAACAACATATTAATCATGTAAAATTAAAAAAGAAATCGATTAAATCGCAAATTCTTAACCTCACAGTCAAATGGCAATTGACTACATAATTAAAACTATTCAATATATATATTATTTTAGAATCTGGATCAAATTTACTTTAAGGTAAAAATTTCGTTAATGTAATACCAAATAGTAAATATGTAAAAAGTATAGACAACAATCTATTTTTAAAAATTTAAGCAATTTATCTTCATTTAATAATTATTCTCATCAAAAATATTTGGGTTTCCAGATATTTATAGTTTTTACAGTTATTTTTAATATTTTTCAATTAGATAATCAAGTATATTATAGTAGAATGTATACTATATTATGGTTGTTGGTCAAGTACTCAACTACAAATTTTTTCAAAATTTAGTAATCAATCAATTTTACTAATTTTTTATTGGGGAAAAAGCATAATCAATCATCATTGTTGTATAAATTATGAGTTGTAACAAAACAATATATAACTCCAAGTCCCAAAGGTCAAGTTCCCTAGGGGCTATCTGTATAAGCTACCGCATGTTTTTCGTAGATTTAGATCAATTATTTTTTTGTTGACAAATCAAAATAAAAAAATTAATTATTTAAATAATAATGTTTCAGAACCCACAAGCTGACTTACAAGCTCAAGATAGGTGTCATAGAATGGGCCAAAATAAACCTGTTGTTGTGTATCGTTTTTGTTCTAAGAACAGTATTGATGAAAGAATTTTGAATTTTGCAACAGCAAAAAGAAAACTAGAAAAAATGATCATTGGCAGTGGTAAAATAATTTTGCATTATTTGTTTAATTTTTTTATAATTCTAACTAAGTATTTAAAGAACAATTTGTCATAGTTTCTGTAAATTTTACATTAGTAGTAAATAGTAATTTTCAGAATACTCAAAATTCTAATTCATTATTAAATAATTTAAATTTATACTATTCTTATTTAAAATACGACATTAGAAATTTGCTTTAGTGAATTTTTATTTCTATTTGATAAAATATATTTCATATCTGAGAAAAAAAGCTTTATTGTATATTTATTTAATAATCTTGTAAACTATAGGTTCATTTAGTAGAACTACAACACTTAACATATCAAACATAGAAGAACTTTTGAATTTATTGAAATCTTCTGAATACACTAAAAAAATACAACCGAATGGATTTAGTAAGTATTTTAAATATAAGTTTTATCCAATAAGTTGTTTAACAGTTGTCTAATATTTTCAATAATATTATTTTATTTCTATAGTTTTGTCTGATGAAGAATTGGACGCTATTTTAGATCGATCTGATATGTACAATTCAGCACCAATAACACTTACTTCTCAGTCTGCGGAGCACTTTAAAGTAGTAACTAATTCTTAAATATTTTTTTTTTTTATCTACCAATTTATGCGACTAGGATTATTTAACGTTTACATCACCTTTAATATGCGATTTGAACATTGATAAAATATGAATTTTTAATCTTAAACATATTTTTTTACATACTTATTAGTTATATTATATATATTTATACATTTTAATTAGTACATTAAATTGATAATTATACTTAAATGTTTAAAAATAAAATACACTCAGTTTTTCACAATTTATTTTTATATGAAGAAGCCATTAATTATAAACAATAATATATATTTATTTTTTACTGTGTGTATTGTGTATATCAATAAATATTTCTGATTTTTAAACTACCTGAACACTGTGTTACGTCTATATTTTATACCAATCCCGCTTGAGAAAAACAAAAAATATTTTATTCAATTTAAATAATTAATATATTGTATATATGTCTACACTTGTAAAAACTAAATACCACTTTTATTTAATGCTGTTACGTATTTTTTTTTTTTTGCTGACGTGTTTTGACCGCTAAAAATGATCGATATAATAATTACTTACATAATATGTATTATGTAAAAATAGGTTGTTAGTTTTTATATATTTATGTGTAGTGTGTACTCTTATAGTTATAAAAAGATTATCGGCCTCTTAAATTCTTATCACTATCATCGGTCACTCTTATCAGTTTTTAAGTTATCAAAAGTACAGAGTTCGAATTCTGATAATCATTTTCATTTAATTTCTTTAAATTTTAGTATTAGCCGTGACATTCTGTTTATTAATTAAATTTTGTTTCAAATTTGTCAGTTTATACTCTTTTGACATGTTACCTGGAAAACTAGCTTTTGTGACCGGTAAGTGCTATTATTCATGGTTGAAATGTGTAAAACTAAATAAGAATGATTTCCAAAACTTGTACACATATTATTAAAGGAGCCGGAGGAGGTATTGGTCGAGCGATTTGTCGTGTGATGGCTCGAGAAGGCGCTACTGTCGTAGCAGCAGACCTTAACATAAAAAATGTACAGACCACTGTTGAAGAGCTCACAGGTAGAATTTAATACTTATTAGCGATAGAACTTAGCAATACAAATTTTAGGCGATGGTCACAAAAGTTATCAACTGGACGTATCCGATGTTGAATCTGTCTCAAGAGTATTACGTCAAGTGTTTACGGATTATTCTGCACCACCGACTGTTGTGGTCAACGCTGCAGGAATCACAAGAGACAATTTCATGTTGAAAATGTCTGTGCAAGATTTTGAAAGCGTATTTAATGTTAATGTTAAGGTAATATAACTGTTTAATAGTATAAGGAAATCAACATTAAAGTCTGAATACAATATCTTATTTGTTTACCTAAACTTACTGTGTTAATATAAAAATTGTACCCTTTTTATCTAAAGGGAACTTTTCTTATCACCCAAACCATTTGTAAAGAACTTGTGGAGAGAAATTTATCTGGTTCTATAGTGAATATTGGAAGTATAGTCGCACAACGTGGTAATAAAGGACAGTGTAATTACTCAGCTAGCAAGGCTGCCGTTGAAATCTTCAGTAAAACAGTTGCATTAGAAATGGCACGGTTTGTTAAATTTCAATGTTTACATTGATTCAAAATTGTATAGTTTTATTAAAATTATGTTGTTTAAATGTTAGACACAACATCAGATGTAACACTGTGTTGCCAGGATTTACAGTCTCTCCTATGACTGATGTGATACCTGAGAACATAAAAGAATTTTTTAAAACAGTCATTCCCATGAAGAGATTTGCTGATACTGAAGGTAATCATTTTTGATACAATAGACATAATATAATATTTATATTCATTATTATAATACTTTAAATTTGAATCAAATTTATGTATGAACCAAGTCAATTGATTTTTACCTATGGATATTGTTAATAATATTATTAGATCTCTCCATCTTAATACCTTACTACTTTTATTCATATTTTTATTTCAGTATACTAAAATATGTGGGTTTAATTATTAATTTTATTTTTTAAACAACATAAAATATAAAATGTATGTCCACATAACATTATATGCTTTAATGTATTTGTATATTATTTTTAATGCATGCTATTTATTATTTATCTATAAAAGCAATAAGTCATTGAGTGGCTATTAAGTACAATTAGCTGTCATAAAAATTATTTATTCTCTTTTTAAATTTCACTTAATTTTTATTACCTGACATTTTCTTATAGTTATATTAACAATTGTTGTATAATATGTATATTTAATCTTTTAGGTATATATTATTTTTATTTATATTAATTTGTGCTAATTGTAGAATCGTTTACATCATTTAAGTTTAACCATTTTTTTTAAACTAATTCTGATATAAAATGTAATGGAATTAAAAGATATGTATTAATTTACAACTTTTTTACATTGTTTATTGATACTTTAAAATAAAATGTTCTTATAATTTTATTTACTAAGATCATTTAAATAAATAACATTTTTATTAAAAATGTTATAAAATATTAGAATATTGGCTTTAAAATACTTTTTTAAGTATTGAATACTACCCATTGACATTTATTCAAGTAAATTTTAAACACTAACTAACTATATTGAATATTTTTCTTTCATTACTTTTTGTTTTACTTTGAATTTTAAATATTTGGAATTGTTATCGTAATGAATAATTGCCACAAAATTTTAATGTTTTATTAAATATTACTGACTCCAATTTTTAATTAACAGATGTTTTTTTATACGTTATACAAAATTAAATGATAGAAATAATTTTTAATTTATTTTGAATAATAGAACTAATTAGTAAAATGTGATTGATGATTATTTTAAGTTTGAATATATTATTAGTTTATTAATAAATAATGCAGTAAAACAACAACTAAGTTATTATGAAGTTTTATAATTAATAATTAATTTCTATTTTATAAATAATTTAAATATTTTTGTCAAACCATTAAACTGTAGTTTTATTAATATTTAAAATTAGAAAATGTATAAATAAATGTATAAAATAATTCATATATCGAAGTTAATACAATTTACTAATTAATAAAAATATATCATATCTAAAATTTGTCTCAAAAACATGAATACAGTAGTATTCTGTATTCAAATTATATATTTATATTAAATCTGAACTATTTATCATTTATTTATGTATTTAGAATGATGTTAGTGATATATTATTTGCTGTTGATGTAAAAATTTGTTGTCAAATTAAAAATTTTGATCTAATTTAAATAAGTTTATATTATGAAGTAAAAGAAACTATCTATGCTTGAATTATGATAAATGTAAATTTATAATTTTTTTATGTATTAAAAGTTCTGTATTTCATAAATATCACGTTAATAAGTAATAACTATCTTCTTGAAAAATGTTATTCTTTCACAGATTTAAGTATTTTTTTTTAATCTGATCTATCTTTCAAAATAAATCATAAATTGATTTTAAATAAAGCGTATAAAATGTTAAGTTTTATTAATAGAAATACTAAGGTTTTTAGAAATTCTTTGTGTTGAAAACATTTGTATAATTTTTTAATTAGATTTAATACTCTGAAATTTAATCTAATAATTATTCAACTTAAATAACCTTAATAGTATTGAATATAAATCAATTTCCTAAAAGAATGTCATATGTTACCCATTGCGCTATCTTTAGACACTTTTTTTTTTTTTTTTAATATAAGACTATAGGTCTTGATTCTCTTACCACAAGATGTGATTTAATAAGTATAATATATGTTTATGGTATTTTAAATAATTATATCAACTGACCAGCAATTTTAAATTACATCGTATTTAGAATTCCTAGTAAGAATTTATGTAGTTCTGATTTGTTCTGTATACCTACCTATATTTTAAACAAATTATGGCAAAAATTATTTTTTACAAATGCTTTTTAAACCCCAATAAAATCTTCACACTCTTTGATTTTTTCTTGCTAAGTATATAAAGCTAAAACATTGTTATTTTTAAAACAGCCTAATTATTTTATATTTTTTATTTGTTTTTATCACTATGTCTATTAGTTTCCATGTGTTAATAAATATATAATATTTTGTTAAAGGGCTTATGCCCGCTGATTAATATTTATATTATATATGATATATAAATATATATATATTTAATTTAAAAAATAATATTAATTTCTAGTATATATAAATGATTTAAAGTTTATGCTTAGCAAAAATGATTTTTATTTTTTAATGTTCTGAATGTTTATATGTTAATACAGATATTGTTTAATTTTAATTTTACAGAAATAGCTGAAGTAGTAACATTTTTGGCGTCTGAAAAAAGTTCTTACATTACTGGTACATCAATTCCAGTTAGTGGCGGTTATTAATAATAAAATTATAAATTTTATAAGCTACAAAGCTTATATAAGGGACAAAATTTTGGTAAAAAAAATTTTTTTGTTATAAGATATTTGTTATGTTTGCAGTAGTTTGCTGATTATATATTAATACTGGATAGTCTATATTTTTCATTATTTTTTTGCAATAAAAGAAAATATATTAATTATTTTATTTGTACTTATTAAATATATTATACCATTTGAATAATATTTGAATATTTTTTAATTATAGTTTATAATAATAAAAGATTATTAAAATAAGAATTATTCTTATTACTTCTTATGTACTTGTTATAATATAATAACTTTCTTCTTTTTTTTTTTTTTTTTTTTTAATGTCTCTTAAAGGGGGTTAAAATTAAAGAAATGGTTCTTAGTGAATTAGATATTTAGATGATATGATCACACTATTTATTAGCAGAACCAGCTGTTTGTGATTAGCTTAAAAATTAAACTTGTTTGATTAGTTATCAAGCTTAAAGTTAAGAAAAATTATCTGTGATTTTTTTTTTTTATGCTTAAATTTAAATTAATATTTGTACATTTTTAAATCTTAATATTTTACATACATTTGTATCAAAAATTATACCTAAATATGCTAAAATAGGCAAATGTCCTATATTGAATATTGGTCAGAGAAAGAGAACAAGACAAGTATAGTGTTAACATAATTTTGAAACTTTAATTCAATATTTAGAATATTTATCCAAAGTGTAAGAAATTATACAATCAGTAATTGTTTTCAATCATGTTAATACTAAAAATGATAATTAGTTAATTTTAATATTAAGTTTGATTTATGAACCATGAGTTATGAGTTATGAGTTATAATAGTGAAATAATAATAATACTATTAACATAATCATTGATTATAAAATACAAGGCTATACAATTGATGATATTATGTAGGTACATATGAAGCATATTATATATTTCTATCACCGGCCTACATGTTATTATAACTTATTAGCAACAATTCAATTTATCTATTCCTAGATATCTAATATCAATGAATTAATTTTTTTTTTTTTTTTTTTTGACTAATGAATTGAACGAACGCTATAGTAATTAATAATGGACAATACGTTATTACTTATTATTGTAATTACATGATGTCAATTAAGTTGCCTATCTTTCAGTTGTACCAATATGTTATTTTAGAATTACTATGAGATAGTTACCAAATGTAGAAATTATAAGTTATAGAAAACCCATCAGATTATCGAAGTTTCGCTCTACTGTTTAGTAGATATTGAGTGTATTTATTCGTTGACTAGATCATTGTAAAAGTGTAATATATTAAAATTTAACGATAAATCATTACCTATATAAGTAAATACATTATGCAATGAAAACAATTTTGATCGGTGATGGTGTTTACAAAATGTATTGCAATTTCGTCAAAGTTTAATTTTTAATCTGGATACAAAAAAAAAATACTAATATATTTATCATATTTTTTAAATTTTGTCTGATTTTTTATTAGAAACTTCCTCGAAATTGAAGACTGGGAAATTTTTTCTTTACAAAAGTGTTTTAAGATGGGGAAAAAATTATATGTATAAAATCGCTGCATTTGTATCTGCTAAAAATTTAAAACTATAAAAATAAATGATAATGTATCTATACTTATACTGTAAATATTTTATTTTTGCATACGTGATAAAGGTAAGTTGTTTAATTTTGTAATAAAATAATAAATGCATGTTTACCGCGTTTATATATGATGATTTACGCCTAAAGTTATTAATAAGTATTAACATAGATTATATTATATTATATTATTATTCAAAATATTTTTACATACGATTAGTGAAAAGGATAATTTAAGTTTCATTAATATAAGATCTGCTTGATTTAATTTTTTTTTTTTAGAAAAAAAGGTTATATACCTAGTATTTTCCAAATTAGTGGATTGGAAACCCTCCTCGACGAAAATTAATATTTGAAATATTTAATGCATAGCATTGTAGAAGAAAAATTTAGAGGTAAGAGATATATTTAGTCATACAAACATATAAGCTAATATAACACACTTATTACATTTATCACTTAACTTATATTTAATTAAAATAATTCCTCTTAATTTACATCTAAATGTTAACATAAACGGTACAAACACTATACCTGGTTGTGATTATTGTGTTTGATAAATTTAACAAGTTTACTATTTTTGCAAAAAACAACTATATATAATTGAAAAAAATCAATGAAGGTAAGATAATTAACAGTACATCTAATTGAATTAAAAAATAATTAAAATAATAATTTGGTAGGTACATAGGTACACTTATTATAATCAAAATTTGATGTTTCAAATTATTAAACAAATTAAGTGTAAACCGTTTTTGTAATATAGGACAGTTCTAAATTAAATTGCAAAAAAAAAAAAAAAACTTACACCAATAATTTATTTAGGTTAGGTTATCTCTTATATGCATCTACTTATTCATTACCTATATTTTTATGCAGATGCCTAAAAATGCTGGTTCATAAAAAAATTAATGTTAATTAAAGGCGAATAAGATTTATACAAGTATATTTAATAACTAAATTTTACATTTTTTAATGGGTTTATTCAATGATACATGAATATTTTTGTGCAATACTTAGAGTATTGATATGTAATTTTGGAGGTGGTTTTTAAAACTGTATTTTATATATATTTAAGTATTATCCACGTAAAAATAAATGTAGTTTTATTTTTACCCTATTAAATACATCATTGCTAAGTGCAAAAAACCAAAAAATTACAACGTATCTCGAAAAATCAACAATCATTATAGGTTGGTTCAAATTTTTCAATCCAACGTTATTAATATATATATTTTGATACTCCTAAATTAATAAAATATTATTTAAATAATTGAATAAAAATTATACAATATATTATGTATAATCATAATTTTACTGTTGCAAATATTACTTACTTATATCTATATAACAGGGTAATATGATATACCCAAAACCCATATAATTAATTGCATTGTTAAAATCGTTGCACATTTTATTTGAAAAATTGTACTCTAGTTGGTACCTACTTGTTATTTTGTGTTTGGTAGTGAAATTCTAACAGTTATAATAATAGATCGATTAATATTAATTAATATATTCTTCTTCTTCTATTTAACTTACTAATGTGATTCAAGAACATCTCATGAATATAAGGTGTATCATGCAGTATTCGTGTATAATATTAATGTTATGACGCACTATATACCTACCCTATGAGAAAATCGCTGCAGGTTATAAGTATAAATATATAATAAATTCGTATGACCGATATATTATGTATGTGAGGACTGAGGACAGAGAAAATTGATCGAACGCGCCTCCGCGTTTATATTCGTATTATATAATATATAATATATGGTTCGTGCGGTTTATCTGGAGCACATCTGCGCCGTTGTATACGCTTTGTGCGGGACGAATGCAGTGTTATTTTTTCCGATCCGTGTGTGTTTCGAGTGGATGACTACTATAGTACTATGACCGTATGTGTAGGAGAGGGACGAGAAGCCGCGGGATAAGAGCACTCGAGGTTTCGGCCGGTGCATTGTGAAAAGGTTTTTGCGACAAAGATAGAGAGAGACATCTGCAAAGAGAGAAAGAGAAAGAGAGGAGAGGGAGAGAGTCTAGCCTAGGTATATATTATACTATTATATGCGAAAATATGAGAAAAACAAGAAAGCTTAAACTAAGGAATAAAAAAAGAAACATTGTTCGGACAAAGTACGAGTGTTTTAAATAATATTAAAGTTATAATATAATCTACGCCTATATAACTGCAAATGTCAGATATTATATATCATTTGATTGCTGAAAAAAAAATTCAATTGGAGTCATTGGAGAACAGATAACAAAGTGTGTTGTACATTGGCCATTAGGCCATTAAGTTTGATTCACAGTCACGTTATTCATACAACATTAAACATCACGTGACAGCCACTTGACATAATAATAATCATACATGGTACATACACACTATAATAGGAAGCTGTACTTATGAATACTTACGCATAAACAGCATAAATTAAAAAATTATATTCTTTAGTTGTTCTTTAGAAGATTTTTGGGATTGGATACGAAAAGTAAATCGTATTTTAGCAAGTCATAGTATTAATGTAATAGTATAATACTGTGTTTATACAGAAATTATACAGAAATTGGTGAACCATGTAAATGTAGCTCAGAAGACATCGGTATCTACAACGTATAGTATACCTATACGCTTGGTTACCTGTTATATCGCCGAGGGTAAACAGAAAAGTTTCGTACATACGCGTGATTGCTGCAACTTGGTAGTTCTGCATACCTAATTATATAAATATAATTGGTATGTATTGTTTATGCTTAAGCATCAAGGTGTATAGCATGTATAATCTTTTAGAGTATAATAAGTTTTACATGTGTATAATAATAATTCTTATATTTATAAAATTGTAAATAGGATCTCGACTGTTATGAGTTGTGACTCTTAAATTAGCAATGAGAAAATGATATATATATTATATATATAAGTTATCCATAAAAAAAACATTGCGATGTATGAGACATCTATTTGTGATTTAATCCTCGATCTTACTATAAGCAAGTTCAGATAAGTAGAAAACAACACAAATTTGTAGTGATTGATGCATCGTTCTAAAATTTTGATTCATTTATAGTGTCGAAATTTCAATTACATACGTTTTCACAAAAATTTCGTCACGATTACGTTGAAGCATTGCACACATATGCGGTCAGTGTATTAAATATAGGAACATATTGAAAATATCAGGATTAAAAAAAAAATGCATTTTATTTTAGCAACTAGCTGCCAATTGAATACGCTGTGCAGGGACGTCTTATGGTATGTATAGACGTATAGTGTATATTATAATTTATAGTGTTAGTCAACGACCGGAATAACCGGAAGGGTGTGCATAATCGGATAGTCAAATGTTGTTAAAGAAACATCACTCTGAAGCTGAACGCTCTCTAAATACACACAAACGCGCACGCATATAATATACAGCTACCGTGCGATGGTGAAGCGTGGTTACTGCGTTAATGGTCATCGTCATCGATGACGACACGCCCAAAAACGGTTTATAATTCATATTACATATATATATGTTAGGTTTTTTCTAGACGCGGTG